CTTAACATATTAGGAGTGATTCTAATTATTTCTCTATATGAAAATAATCGTTGAAAGATCTATTTTCGGATCTTCAAAGTATCCTAAATCTAAAAATCTAGACTAATCTTTTGCTATTTGATAAGATGCACAAGACGAAAACAATTATCCAACGAGTTTTTTGAGTATATATGGATTTGAGTTCAAAACAACTTGCTGAAGTGGCTAGATTTTCTTTCATTCAAGCCAATCCTCTTGGATTTCATGAAAATATCTTTAACTTAACATATTAGAATATATATATATATATAAAAGGATGAAAAGCTTTCCTAGCAGACTTCCATCGAAACTAAACAAGTTGAATATACATACTTGTATACCAAACATACAATCTCAAGAATTAACCAAATTAACCACAAGACATGGAGAAGTCTTCCATTAAGTTGGTTTTCTTAGTCGTGCTTCTTATGTTGGCAACTGGTAACTCTTTTTTTGTTTGTTCGTTCTTGGACAATGATTATTCTTCTTTCTTTGATATACAAATACATACATATCAATTTTATATATGTGTGTGCGCGTGCGTGTGCGTGCATTAGTGTGTCACACATAATATAAGATGGGGTTCACTTTCTTTAACTCATTTGTTTTTTCGATTAAAGCAGCCACACAATTTGGAGCTGAAGCAAAGTTTGTAAAAAAGCGGTGCCAAACTTCAAAGGATTGTCTGGTATTGGGACCTAAATGCAAGTGTTTTGACCACTTTTGTCTCTGCGGGCCTGATGAACAAGTTTTCGGTGGTCAAGCACTCATGGGCAATCCATGAACATTCGAAAAGCAACCAGTCTGCTAATAATAGTGCTTATAATAATGTAGCTTTTGAGAAAAAAATTTCAAATTACTGAAAAGAAAATAAAACATTTTTTTTTAAAAAAATTACTATTCATTTTACAGTTTTTGCTTTTTTATGCTTGAGATAGGATTGATGTAAATGTTGAGTTGATTAATTATTGTGCTTTTATTGCTTGAAATCATTTACAGAAAAAAAAAGAAAAAAAGAAGGGGGCTTTAGAAATTAGAGAAGTAGGAAGTTGGGCCTCTAATCAATGTTTCGGGCAACTGGGTTTATACACAGTCCAAGCCTTACTTAATACAATACAAACATTGGAATCAATCGATATTTATACAGGAAATCTACTAATAATTAGACTTTAAGCTCTATCATTTACTTACTAATTTTGTGGGAAAAGTATCAAGATTTTTTTTTTTCAAAAATAGAAAAAACTATAGGAGAATATTCCTGATTCATCTAAATATCTCAATAATCTCATTTAAATTTTCGGATGTCTTTTTGTTTTGACCAATTCTTTGTTAAAATTTATCATTTACCTATTTAAAAACATAATTACATCTGAAAATAGTAAAAAATATTTTTTAAATTAATAAAGCATTGGTAAATAATAAAATTCAATACATGTATAATACTTTTTTCATCATGAAGAATGGTTAATTAGATAATTAAGTTAATCATTTCTTAATTTTTTTTATTTTCTTAATAATATTTACATCTCTTTAACTTTTTACACCGTTCATCATTTTTTGTTCATATTTACCTAAAATATTTTTTTTTTTAAATTGTTAGTTATCAAATTTAATGTTGCATTACATGCAACCAATATTAATTTAAGAAGAAAATATATTCAAATTTAAAGTGTTAAATAAAAATATTATTAAGTTAATTAACCAAAATTTCGGCATGCAGTATAAAATCCCAACAAAATTTTAGGCCAAAAATTAAGGCAACAAATTAAAATTTTCATCCTTCTCAAATTTGAGGTCCAAAATCTTTATAAAGATCTCTTTGGGATCACTTTTAATTTATCTTGAATGTGATTCTGAGATTTTACAAGCTGCCATGGATTGTTTAGAAAAATAAATATTTGAAATTTTATGTTAAAAGTATTTGTATGTATATAGAAAAAGTATAAAAGATATTGATTTTTTATTAATGAAAAATATAAAATAAAAGAAATAATTGATTTTCTTTATCAATTAAAAATATTTTAGAAAATATATTATTTAAAATTATAATTAAATAAATATTTTAGGATAGGTATAAAGAGAAAAAGAAACAATTTCTTTGCCACAGACAGAGTAATTTATTGCTATATATCGTGGTTTATGGATGAGACCGTAGATTTGTTTACTTGACAACTTCTCTTTTTTCACATTTTGAAAAAGGTCAACGAATTAATATGGTGGGAAATATTCCAGTTGAATTTTGCTGGCTTTCAGTGAAGAGAACAAGTCACGAAAAATTTTCAAGACCTTAATTAGTAGGCATTAAAGTTCCTCCAAAAGACTTTTGGTCAACTTAATTGATGGAAACTATATATAAATAATTCACTAATAAATTATCTATATTTTCCTTTGTAAAAGAACCATAATCTTGTTTTATTTAGCTTGAAAGATCTTTGGCTTAGCATATTAGAAATGATTCTAATTATTTCTCTATATGAAAGTGTTCGTTAAATGATCTTTCCTTTTTTTTTTTTTTTTTTTTGATCTTTAGGATCTCATAGACTTAAATGTCCATATTAATCACTCGTGCGCTATTCGATCGATGCATATGATGGACATAAGTACTCAATGAGTTTTTTACATATACAAAGATTTAAATTCGAAATCACTTATTTAAGCGATTAAAGTCCTTTTTATTCAAGTCAACTCTTTTAGATTTCATTGAAAGATCTTTAACTTAATAGATTAGGAGCAATTCTAACTACCTCTACATAAAAATGTATAAATAATAAGGATGAAAAAGTTTTACAGCAGACTTTTTAACTATTAAAATTTAATACATGGATAATTTTTTTCTGCCATCATGAAGATTGGATAGATAATTAAAATAATTATTTCTTAATTTTTTCTTTACTTAATAATATTAATAAATTTGTTTGGGTTGAAAGATGTTTGACTTAACATATCGGGAGTGATTTTAATTATTTCTCTATATGAAAATATTCGATGAAAGATCTTTTTTTTTTTGATCTCCAGGATATCCTAGACCCAAATATTCATATTAATCACTCATTATTCGATTGGACACATATGATAGACACAACTACTCAATGAGTTTTCCGTATATATAAAAATTCGAATCCAAAACTATTTGTTTAAGCAACTAGAGTTTTTTATTCAAGTCAATTCTTTTCGATTTCGTTAAAAGATTTTTAACTTAACATATTAGGAGCAATTCTAATTATCTCTCTACATGAATATATATATATATATACATATATATATATATTCATGTAGAGAGATAATTAGAATTGCTCCTAATATGTTAAGTTAAAAATCTTTTAACGAAATCGAAAAGGATTGACTATATATATATATATATATATAAAAGGATGAAAAGGTTTTGCAACAGAATCTCATCAAAATTAAACAAGTTGAATGTACTCATAAATCAAACATATATTTCTCAAGTATTAACCAAATTAACCAGAAGGTATGGAGAAGTCTTCCATTAAGTTGATTTTCTTAGTCGCGCTTCTTATTTTCGCAACTGGTAAGTCCTTTTTTTTTTTTTTTTTTGAAGAATGAGTAATCTTTTTTCTTCGATATACAAATGCATGTATACTTATTTATCGATAAATAACTTATGTACGTATACCATCACGTACACATATTTAGAGAGATTATATAGCATTAGGACCTAAATGCAAGTGTTTTGACCACTTTTGTCTCAACACTAAAAAAAATTAATTAATTCATTTTTCAAAATGAGATAAACTAATTTATTATTTAATTTACAATTTAAGAATTTCTTTCATCATAAATTAAGAAGTAAGTTTTATTGGAACTAATTTTGTAATAGTTTTTATTATAGTTTATTGACTTTAATATATTCCATACAACTTAGATGTTTTTTTTTTATATAAATTTGTTTATACTATATACTCTGAATTTACTAAATATGATCATAATATAGATATAATTTTGTTGGAAATTAAGTATGTATCCGCATAAAAAACACCATTAGTCCCTTTGGTTTAAAAACTAATTTTTTTAAAATCCTTTTTGCTATATCAATGGTTCTTTTTTTCGTTGAGAAAGAATGAAAAAATAAGTAAAAATATGAAAAAAGAATATATATATATATATATATATATATATATATATATATATATATAAAATTAGTTTTGTTAGAAATTAATTATGTGTCCGCATACATAATACTAATTATTTATAATTTATTATTTTTATATTCTAAAATTAATATTTTTAAATAAAATAATTGAAATATATATCATTAATTTTATTATAAATTAATTATATATTTGCACACATAACCCCTGTTATTTGTTATTTATTCTTTTTTATGTTCTAAAATCAATATTTTTTAAATAAAATAATTAAAACAATGTTTCGAAATAACATTTCAATTATTCAAATACAATTTTTTATGGTAATATTGTTGATTATTTTGTTAATAAATATGTATAAACTAAAAGATTTTGCTCAATAAATAGATTTGATTTACATTAATTATGAGAAATAAGATTTTTATCTACACTAAATCATACAAATCGTTTATCTTACATACGCGATTATAACCGCGGTATAGCGTGGATATTTATTGCTGTATACCGTGGTTTATGGATGAGACTGTAGATTTGTTTACTTCACAACTTCTCTTTTTTCACATTTTGAAAAGGTCAACGAATTAATATGGTGGAAAGTATTCCAGTTGAGTTTTGTAGGCTTTCAGTAATTAGAACAAGTCACGAAAAAATTTCAAGACCTTATAGTAGGCATTAAAGTTACTGCAAAAGACTTTTGGTCAACTTAATTGATGGAAAGAAACTATATATAAACAATTCACTAATAAATTAATTATATTTTCCTTTGTAAAAGAACCATAATCTTGTTTTATTTAGCTTGAAATTATGTATAAATACATATAATCATGTGAATGCTACAAACTTCAGGACAGAGGAAGAGCAGGGCTGAAAAGTTTAGACACTGCTCTTAATAGCTGCACTATACCCATTATCATACTGCTTGTTCCAGAGCATAACACCTCCATACTTGGCTGAGTTCTTGATAGATGGAAGAACCTGAGAAGTGAGCACATCAGCAGGGATGAATCCACCACTTGGGGCTGCCTCAGGAGCGGCAGGCAGTCCCAAGAATATTTGATTTGATTGAACTGTGGTCCATTGGTTCCATGCACTTAAGAGACCGCTAGCATCATTTGTGTACTGACATGGAGGATTGTTATAGAATTGAACCCACACATAATCAAATAAGCCAGTTTTGATTGCAGTGTCTAGATTAGCATCGGGGAAGGGACACTGTGGAGCTGCAGCTAAGTATACCTTCCTTTGTTGGCTAAATCCATTAAGTGCCCTAGCAAGAACATCCCAGAACTGCCCCGAACCTGCCTCGATATCAAAATCGATGCCATCTAAGATGGCATCGCCGAGCGGACGTGTGGTGGACTGACCACCGAGGAAGTTGTTCCAGAGATAATTCGCGAGTTGCGTTGCGTCATCCGCAGATGAAAGAGAGTAGCTGCCAGCACCACCTCCAATGGAAAGTAGAACTTTGATTCCTTTATTTTGACAAGCTGTAATGTCAGTGCTTAAGCCAGTGCAAGTATTGGCATTAGGGTCACAATGGCCTGCTAGGTTCAGCACCGGAGGTTGGCCGTTGCCAAAACTAGACAGGAAAGCTATGTTCACAAATTGATAGTTTCCTGTGTTACAAGTATCTGCCAAGCTGCCTTCATTACCGTTTTGTCCCCAGTAGATGGCAATGCCTGCACCGTTTGAGGATCTGCATAAGGAGACAACTAAGATGGATAAGAGCAGGGAGAGAGCTTTTTTGTGGCTAGCCATTTTAGATTATCTCTAGCTTGTTCTGTGTCTCAACAATGTGGGATGGTACGAATTTATAGCTTTAAGGGTCACGTGTTTCTTAAGGTTTAAGGTAGAAAAGTCTGATCACCGTGGTTTGTGGGCAAGAAAATTGATGCCATTCTCATTATGTGTACAAAAAATATGCATAATAAGTCTTCAATATTACTTAGTAGGACCAGGGCTTTGAATTGGCTATTCGGCTAGTTCCCATTTAAGGCCCACATCGGTTTCCTGGAACCAAGGGCGATAAGGTACTGCTGTTGGGCAGTCTAGAATTGGTTTCCACTTTTCCGGTTGCATTAAAGATAACTATCTAATGAGTGGTCGGTCGACTCGTCCGACAAATTTAAGATATGTGGCTCAAAATAACAGTGATGATTGTTTTAACAATCTTGAACATGAAGGGAGATTTTCTTACATCGAATGTCTGTAAAATAAGTCTATTTGGTTGGTTAAAAGACTTTCTTATATTCAAGTTAATAGTTGAAAAGCAACGAATTTTTTTGAAAAGTCTTTTTTATACTAATATATATTAGTTTTATATAATTTATTAGAAGAAAGTTAGTTGTACATGATAAATCTATTTAGAGAGTATTTTTTTGAATTTATTTCTATTTTTTGTATATGTGTAAATGCGAAACTTATATGATGAAAATAACAATGAGTATTTTTTTTTTTTAAGTTAATAAAAGAGTCGATAAGTATTTTTATTTTACTATTATTGTATTTGATTATGTAACGATGGTGGTAAGATCGTGATGAATGGTGATCTAATTAATGTAATAATTAGATATTTTTCATTAAAGGTTTTATATTCGGAAGAAAGTGAAGGAGTACAGTGTTTTCTTCTTCAGCACTGGAGTGTTCTGGGATAGGAGGCTTCCAAAGTCTTTCCTAGGGGTCAAACTTTGAGAGGAATACAAGTCATTTGGGAAAATTTGGGCCCGTTAATGGATCGGTTCTTCTTGATGAGCTGTGAATCTTAATTAACAGGATTTTAGAATTGTAGACTCATCATGAGCTTTTTCTCTTTTCTTCTTCTTCTTCTTCTTTTTTTTTTTTTTAAAAAAAAAACTGTCCTGGGGAGAATAACCCATCACTATCTACGGTAAAATTAAGAATTTCATGAGAAAAAACTCCTTGTAGCCAGGCTGGCTCCCAAGAGCTAATAAGTTCAAACCTTTATCATACTGTTGTCAACATGTGCTCCACTTGACCAACGCCTTGGCATTAATATTAAGATCTTCAATTTTATCAGAAACTTACATTTTTTTTCATCCTGTAGTTTAACTAATTAAGCAATCTTGTTTTAGGCTATGTTTGTTTCAGATAAATAAATTTTAAGAACTTGTTTTTCTCATTTTATCTTTTTTTTTTTAATATTTGTCTTGCATTTAGGAAAAAAATCAACGGAATTTGATTTCTAATTAACAAATTTTCATAAGATATTTTTTGAAGGTATTTACCGATTTAAAAAAGAAAAAAATATTTTCTCTTTCTTTCATGAGCTGTTTCGCTCTTGCATTATTCACCTCTATCGATATATTTTAATAATTTTTTTCTCTATCTTTTTTTACTTAAAATATATCAAATTAATTTTTAATTAATTTTTATCATTATTTAAATATTTTTCTCTATTTCTACTAACATTTGATTTTTTAATTTATAAATACATTAAATATTCTAAAAAAATTATTTTTACACCTTAAAATTATTTTTATAACAAATATTTCAATAATTTATCTCTATTTTGTTTTTACCATTATCCTAAACACCACATAAACTATATTTAAATGATTGAAAATGATTATTACAAGACCGCAATCATTTGTGAAAAATTTGAAACTAATTAATTCATTAATAAATATATTATTTTTTCAACACTATTCATTTGCAATTAAATCAATAATTTATGATTAATCTTAATTAGTTGCAAAATTTTGTTAGTAATTATAGTCAATAATTAGTTACAAATTATTCCAATATTAATCTTTTGAAACCAAATTAATAATTATCTACAAATGATAACTAATAATTTATAAAACTATTTTTTAGACTAAATTATTAGTTCATTTTTTTTATAAAAAAATTCTTAATTGAGTTACCAAAATAACAATGCTAAGATTACTTAAATTTTTTTTTATTAAATGTGAATATTGACTTGATTTTATCCCAAGTATTTTGATGAATTGGTTTGATGATTACAAATATATATTTTATTTTTTGAATTTAAATCTTAGAGTCAATATTTATAAAAATTTATTAAGTTTTTGTAAATACATCTTATATTGTGAAATTACAAATATGCCTTGTTGAAGTTCCCTCAAAACTCGTTGATGTAAAAACGCCGCTTGTTTTTGTATTTCAGCTTATTGTATCAAACAAACATTGAAATATATTTTTTAACAGCTTATTTCATGTAATTGCCAAACGTTAGAAAATATTTTTTTAAAAAACAATTTTATGAAACATAGCTTCTCTAAAATTGCTTTTCTTATTGAAAATTGTTTTCCTTTAAACAAACGGAGCCCTAGCATCAGAAAAGTTTCCCTCTTTTAATACATATACAAATACTAAACTAGTCAGAATCAACTTAAAATAAGTTTCTCCAAATCAATCTTAAAAAAAAAAAAACTGAAAATTTATGTTGAGAAGATAATTAGAGATCAACTTCACAACATTAATTCATTGGTAGAGTATATTAAATTCATGTCTAAAGATAATACACCAATATACGTTTATTTTTTCTCATCAAGAAATATAATTTTGTTTTATTTAGTGTGAGATCAATTACAAGTACACAACCATATATTTTATTGTCAGCAAGTGAATGCTACACTCAGAATAACATAATTAAGCTGAGAACATGAAGAGCAAGGCTTCAAAACTTAGACACTGCCCTTTATAGCTGCACTGTACCCATTGTCGTACTGCTTGCTCCACAGCATGACACCACCATACTTGGGTGAAGTCTTGATAGATGGAAGAACCTGAGAAGTGAGGACATCAGCAGGGATGAATCCACCACTAGGGGCGGCAGCAGGAGCCGCAGGTAGTCCCAAGAATACTTGATTCGCTTGAACTGTGGTCCATTGGTTCCATGCACTTAGTAAATTGTTTGCATTGCCTGAGTATTGACATGGAGGATTGTTGTAGAATTGAACCCACACATAGTCAAATAGGCCGGTTTTAATTGCAGTGTCTAGATGAGCATCGGGGAAGGGACATTGTGGAGCTGCAGCTAAGCTCACCTTCCTTTGTTGGCCTTTAAGTTCCCTAGCAAGGTCATCCCAGAACTGGCCTGAGCCAGCCTCAATATCAAAATCAACACCATCCAAGACGGCGTCACCTAGCGGACGTGAATTGGACTGACCACCAAGGAAGTTATTCCAAATATAATCTGCAACTTGCCTTGCATCATCGGCGGATGAAAGAGAGTAGGAACCTGAAGCACCTCCAATAGAAAGGAGCACTTTGATGCCTTTACCTTGGCAAGCTTTAATGTCAGTACTTAAGCCAGTGCAAGTATTGGCATTAGGATCACAATGGCCTGCTAGGTTCAGCACTGGAGTTTGTCCATTGCCAAAAGTGGTTAGGAAAGCTATGTTCACAAATTGATAGTTTCCTGAGTTACAAGTATCAGCCAAGCTGCCTTCACCGCCATTTTGTCCCCAGTAAATGGCAATGCCTGCACCATATGAGGGCTTGCACAAGGAGACAATCAAGAGGGATAGAACTAGGGTTAGAGCTTGTGTATGGAAAGCCATTTTGGATATCTATATAAGCTTGTTTTGTGGCTCAACAATGGTGGAGAGGTTACCAATTTATAGCTTTGAGGATCATGCATGCTGGACTGTTTAAGGTAGAAAAGTCTAATAACGGTGCCTTTTAGGATAAGAAATTGTTTCCGTTCCTTCCCAAATAAGTAGAAAAAAAGAAGTTGTTAACTATCTCTTAGTCAAAATTCAGTAGCCAAGGCATAAATTTGAATTGATCAAACCTGATACAAATACTTTCTAGAATTTGTATTTGCTACCGACAGATGCAGCTTGTGGCAGAAAATTTAGAAAGATTTTCAACAATTCCATCCATTACAGGTGTCACTCCTGGAAAGTCTGGTAGAAGCTGGAGTTTGTGATAGTTTGTCAAGAACCTTAGTCTTGTCTTATCGAAAAGCTATTAATGTTGAAAAAACGCAGTGACCAAGTGAACACAACGGATTCGTTACGTTAGAAATTGACACTGCTAAATTATCAGATATAATTGGAAGTATGTGAACATTCATGGCATGTGCTCTTTGAAGGACCACAAATTCTATGAATACTAGAGAAGTTAGGCAATTTATTGACTGCAGCTTAACGTTTTGACCATAGCTTGGAATTTTGAGCAGTGTCTTCTGTAGATGGTTCACTCAAATTTTCTATTTTTTTATTTATTTAACGTACGTATAATATATTCACTAATATTCTTTTCATTTACAACCCATTTTTTTTGGCATTGTTAAGTTGTCAGGTTATGATATCTGCTGTCTTTATTGTCTTCTTTTTTTTTTTTTTTTTTTTCTGGAATTAAGCTTTACGAAAAGGACCAAGTATGTCCATCCTCTGCTGAGAGAAGAGCCATGGTGACGGAATGGCCGTCATTTTTGTTGTGGTTGATGCTGGACAGAGGCAAATCTTTGGCCAAATCCTCAGCATCCCGTAGGATTGAAGGCGAAATGCACTTCAGATGAGGTGGTGTTGTGCAATTCAAATTCCTTTGTGTTCAAACATACTGATTTATCTATTTTTTTTTTTTCAAAAAATGGTGACTAAATTTTAATTCTTACTTTGTTCTAGCTCCCATGTGCAGGGACAGATGCTACCTGGACTGTATTTGTTTCGGAAAAAATAAGTTTTTGTTGTTTTTGTTTCCATTCTCCAATTTCTCTCATTTTTTTTTATGTTTGTTTTGTATTTAAAAAAAAAAAACCAAGAAAATTTAATTTCCAATCAACAGAATTTAAAATATTATTTTTGGAAAAGTGACTTATGAGTTAAAAAAGAAATATATATTTTTTCTCTTTCTTACGATTTGTCTCGCTCTCGCGTTACTCATCTTTCTCTCGATATATTTTAATAATTTTTTTTTGATCTTATTTTTTATTTAAAATATATCAAATTCGTTTTTGATTATTTCTTATCAATTATTATTAATTATTTAGTTATTTTTCTTTATTCCTACTAACATTTGATTTTTTAATTTATAAATACATTAAATATTCTTAAAAATCATTTTTATACCTTAAAATTATTTTTATAATAAATATTTCAATAATTTATCTCTATATTTTTTACCATTATCCCACACATCATTTAGACTATAATTAAATGATTGAAAATGATTATTACAAAACTACAATCGTTTGCAAAAAAATTTGAAACTAATTAATTCATTAATAAATATATTATTATCTCAACACTATTCATTTTCAATTAAATCAATAATTTTTGAATAATTTTAATCATTTGTAAAATTTTATTGGTAAGAGTAGTAAATAATTAGTTACAAATTATTTCAACATTAATCTTTTGAAACCGAAGAATATTTATCTACAAACGATAACTAATAAATTGTATAGCTAATTTTTAGACTAAATTATCAGTTCAATTTTCAAAAAAAAAAAAAGAAAAGAAAAGAAAAAGAAAAAGAATTGTAATTGAGTTGCCAAAATAACTTTACTAGGATTACTTATATATATATATATATATACACTAAATGTAGATATTGACTTGATTTTGTCCCAAATAGTTTTGATAGTTAAAAACATATATTTTATTTTTTTATTTTTTGAATTTAAATCTTAGAGTTAGTATTAAAAAAATTTATTAAAATTTTTTAAATACATCTTATATTGTGAGATTATGAATATGTCTTGTTGAAATTTTCTCAAAACTCATTAATGTAACAACAACGTATCGTTTTTGTATTTTAGTTTTCCGTATCAAACAAACGCTGAAATATATTTTTCAACAGCTTTTTCCCGTAATTGTCAAACGTCGGAAAATATTTTTTAGAAAACAGCTTCTCCAGAATTATTTTATTTAATGAAAGTTATTTTTCACCAGACAAATATAACCCTAAAAGAAGAATGTTCGTACTTCCATGGAATTAATTAAGGCAGCATGAATAAAAAAACAAAGCAAATCTTTTTCAAATTTTACATAGAAAATATAATTTGATCAGTGCAAAACAGCAGGCAAATGGGCAACTTATTGGCCGAGTGAAGGAGCACTAAGGTGTTAGTTGGATATGTTTGGGAACACAAAAACAGGGTTTCATTTGCTGGCTTGGTTGGCCGATCAAATTCTTTAATTCTCATTTCTATTGGGCTCATGACCCATGGGTCAGCTTACCTTTGTCTCTACTTACATTTTGGGTCAGCCTATAGTTTAGCATGTAGATTCCTTCATAAATTAATTAATATGCATATAATAGTTTATTGCCCTAAGCCTGAAGCATGTTTGCCTTGTTAACTTTGAAACTCAAAATAAAAATAATTAATTATTCATGAAGAACGAACCCTATTCATCAAAAAAAAAAAAAAAAAAGCAAACTTACCCGGCCCACTAATTAATTATTCTATCTTTTAAAAATGCTAAATATTAAGTAAAATCAATCTATATGTCAAAATCATGTGCATCATCAAATGGAATTTTTTTTATTTAAATTACTATTCGTTTTAAGCTTTTGCATTTTTATGCATGAGAAAGGATTGATGGAAATGTTCAGTTGGTTGATGATCGTGCTTCGCTTGCTTGATACTGCAGCATGGCTACCGCTTCAACTATCAACGAGACAGGAAAAAAAAAGAAAAAAAAAAAGGGCTTTAGAAATTAGAGGAGTAGTAAGTTGGGCCTCTAAACAATATTTTGGGCAGCTGGGTTATAGACAGTCCAAGGCCTTGATACAAGACGAACGTTGAATTTATTTAAAAAAAAAGTTAATTTATGGATATTTATACAGGAAATCTACTAATAATTAGAGTTTAAACTCTATCTTTTACTAACTGGAGAATATTTCTTATTCATCTAAATATCTCAACAATCTTATTTAAATTTTCGGAAGTCTCTTTGTTTTGATCAATTCATTGTTAAAATTTACCATTTACCTATTTAAAAACATAATTACATCTGAAAATATTAAAAATATTATTGAAATTAATAAAGCATCGGTAACTAATAGAATTCGATACATGTAAAATAACTTTTTCATCATGAAACCTGATTAGATAATTAAGTTAATTATTTCTTAATTTCTTTCTTTGCTTAATAATATTTACATCTCTTTAACTGTTCACACTTTTCAATATTTTTTGTTCATACTTTGTTAATTTTTTCTTTTAAATTTGTTAGCTATCAAATTTAATCTTGCATTACATGGAACGGGTATTAATTTAAGAATAAAATTTATTCAAAATTAAAGTGTTAAATCCAAGAAAAAAATATTAAGTTAGTTAACCAAAATTTCGGCATGCAATATAAAGTTCCTACAAGATTTTAGTGTAAAAATTAAGGCAATAAATTAAAAATTTTCATATTTCCCAAATTTGAGGTCCAAAATCTTTATAAATATCTCTTTAGGATCACTTCTAATTTGCTTTGAATGTGATTATGATATTTTGCAAGCTACCATAGGTTTTTTAGAAGAATAAATATTTAAAATGTTATGTTAAAAGTATTTGTATGTACATAAAAAAAGTATAAAAAATATTGATTTTTTATTAATGAAGAATAAGAAATAGACAAAATAGTTGATTTTCTTTTTCAATTAAAGATATTCTAGAAAATTATATTATTTACAATTTTTACTAAATAAGTATTTTAGGATAGATATAAATAAGGAGAGAGTAAATTTTTTTTTTGGGACAAAAAGAGTAATTAAGTAAAACATTAAAAGATTTGATGTTTTTACTATCATAGCATTGGATAACACGTCGTCCATTGTTTTTTTTTTTTTTTTTTCTAGCCAGGTCAATCGGGCTTGCTTCTGTAGGCCCATCGGTGCAAGCCCGCATCTGCAAACCCAAGGTGTAGGCTTGGCTTTGGTTTTTTTTTTTCTTTTATTTTTTTATTGTTTTTTATTATTGATTTTGTGCAAAATTTATGAAAAAAAAAATAATCTTTTTTTTTTTTTTTTTTCATATAACCTCATGATGAAAAAATATGATTTCTTTGATTTGTAATTTTTTTTTTTTCAAAAGTTCAGATAATTTCTTTAATTTGTCATTTTTATGGAAACATTAATAATTTTTCTAATTTTCTTATATAATCTATTTGTTAAGAAACTATGATTTGTTTTTCTCTATGTATTGATTTTTTTAATAAAATTTTAGAATGTGATTTTTTTCTTTTTTAAAAATATTTTAATATAATTTATATGTTGGATGTTTTTAATATATATATATATATATCGTGGTTTCTGGATGAGACTGCAGATTTGTTTACTTGACAACTTCTCTTTTTTTACATTTTGAAAAGGTCAACGAATTAATAGATGGTGGAAAAATTTAAACACCCAGTTGAGTTTTGTGGGCTTTGAGTGATTAGAGCAAGTCACGAAAAATTTTCAAGACCTTAGTAGGCATTAAAGATACTCCAAAAGACTTTTGGTCAACTTAAAGGAAGGAAAGAAACTATATATAAACAATTCACTAATAAATTAATTATATTTTCCTTTGTAAAAGAACCATAATCTTGTTTTATTTAGATTGAAATTATTTATGAAT